CCTGGGCTCAAGCGATCCTCCTGCCTCTGCCTCCTAAAGTGCTTGGATTACAGGCATGAACCACCTGGCCTAAATGAGGTACTTTAAAGATTTTAAATGAGACTCCATATTTTAAGAGAATGTAGGGAATTTGAGAGAAATCCTGAGTTCTACAAGTATCACCTCTTTAAATGCTTACACTTAGCAAGGAGACAGGGTGTTTGAAATTGCACTCTTGAAAAGATAAAGCAGTTTTTATAAGTAACAGACCCCCCCAAGATCAGAGAATCATAAGGCCATGTGCAAGCTCTTGATCTGAAATTTGTCATTGTTTCCTTGTATGTTTGCAGGTGGTAAACTCTAATATATACAATTATTTGATTTAACTCACATTCGGATGAGGCTAAATTAAAAAAAAAATGTTTTTCCTCTTGTTATAATTTTTCCAAATTCTCCTGTCCAAAACAACACTTAAGATTCTTAAGATTAGTCTGTCTATGGCTGCAAAACAGCAATGTGGATTGGGACAATTTTTTTTCATTATGGGAAATCACGAAAATAATTTTAACTCAGAATTATATATATGTATACTTAAATGTTTATATTAAATGTAACATTTATGTTAAATATAAATAAGTTTATATAAAATATAAATATATATCTTTTAAATATATACATATATACACACGCAAACCCAGCTCCAGCCCACTAATCTGTGGTGGAAATTTTGAAAAAGTTTCACAAATGACTCTGATGCTTCTTAGTTCCACTTAGAAAATCTTCATGAAGACTGTAATATTTATCTCTTCCTAGGTACACAGCTTTCATCTGGAAAGGATCAGTATGTACAGAAATTGATACTTTGATTGTAAGCTACCGTTACTACATACACATACTCGGGAGCCCTGCAGTGTAGAATTTAAGCCTGTGGACTACATGAGCTCATTATCCTGGTTCCTCAACTTAGTAAACATTTTTACTTTGGCAAATTATTTCTGAGCCTCAGTTTCTTTATCCACAAAAAAGGGGATTGTGAGCATACTCAATTTCTAAAATAATGAGGATTAAATGAGATAATGTGTATGGTTACAGCTCACTGAAGTTTAGATATTTTGATCTCATTTGGCTTTGGGAAATTATTGATGCTTTCAAAATTTTGTGAGAATGCAATGAGAACTGTAATATTCTAATATGCTTGGTAAACCCTCCAGAGTTCTGAACACATGGATCAACTGAGAATTGTTTGAGGGACTAGAAAAAGGTACATCAGTTCTAATGGCAAGTGCTGTAGTTTGCAACTGCCACATGGAATGCAGACTCTATGCAGACACCTAAATGAGACTCTTTCAACAGCTGAAGAAGAAAAAAAGTAAGAAATATACTTTCATAATTTCAAAAACTTAAATATTGAATGGAAATGCAGTTGAAAGAGAAACTTTTTTTTTTGGCATTTCAAGAGTTATTTTGTTTGCTTGTTTTTTCTTTCCCTTTTCTAATTACTGGTGTGGTGTGATATGGATTGTGCAATTATTCTGATGGTCATTATACAATGTAGCTGCTTAGCTGTAATAAAATCAAGCCTAGTTTGACATGGAAACTAACATAGGACATGCCTTGTCAGTTGTGTGTGGCATTAAATTTAATATTTATGCTGTCCTGACTCACTTTGGTTTTTAGGGGGACTGCTAAATTATGGGAAGATATCAAGGAGGCATTCATACTATGCTTGAGGCTCTGGCCCTCTCTTTTCTGGATCTCTGATGCATACTATAGAAACTATACTGGGAATTGGCCACCTGCAGATGTAGGAGAGACTCCTCTGCTTTTTGTTCATTTCCTCCCCTGCCAAAGGCAGAAATCCCTTTAGGTTTTTCAGAGATGGGTGCATTAAAATCATTCTTGTGCATCCCCTATGTACCAGACACTGTATCCTGTACAATAGATTATTCTATTTATTCCTTCCATTAGGCCATTTTACAGAGGAGGTGTTGATGTCTTAGAATTTCATGGCCTTGCCTAAGGGCAGAGGCTCTCAAGTGGCAAAGCAGGGATATCTGAGCTTTCTCACTCTGGATCCTCTGCCCTTCTACCATAGAAACAGAAAAACCTAGAGGTATGATAGGATTTTAGAAATCAAATTATATTTCCTCCTTTTTCATTTGAGGAATCTTAGGCATAGAGAAGTTAAATGATTTGCCTGAGGCACAGAGCCAGTTAGAAGCCTGACTGGGAAGAAACCTAATTTCTTTACTTTTAGAAATCTTTTATTTGAAAACTCCACAAAGCAAAGACTCAAGACCCATTCTAAACAGCTGTCTGCCATAGTGCCAATTGCATCTCTTTGTCTGGGCAGTATATTTCCATTTACCTTGTAGTTTAATGAAGTGAAGGGCTCCCTGAACCCTTAATGTTCAGTTTCAAGGCAATTGAGAAATTCATTTAAGAACCAATTTATCCACAAAGCTAGAACTCAAAATCAAAGGAAACAGAAAGGAAAGGAAAATCAACTGTTAACATCAGGCTAATGGTAAACATAAAATTCATATGTTTAAGAGAACAATTTGTTAAGATTATTAAAATGCTATATAAATATTGATATAGTTTGGCTGTGTCCCCACACAGGTCTCATCTTCAATTGTAGTTCACGTAATTCCCTTGTGTCGTGGGAGGGACCTAGTGGGAGGTAATGAATCATAAGGGCCATTACCTCCATGTTGTTCTCATGATACTGAGCCAGTTCTCTTGAGATCTGATGGCTTTACAGGGGGCTTTTCCCTCTTTTGCTTGATACTTCTCCTTCCTGCCATCATGTGAAAAGTACAAATTTGCTTTTCCTTCTGCCATGATTGTAAGTTTCCTGAGGCCTCCTCAGCCCTGCAGAACTTTGAGTCAATTAAATCTTTTTTCTTTATAAATTAGTCTCAGGCAAGTCCTGTATAGCAGCATGAGAATAGACTAATCCAGATATCTTTTAGTAATGTGAGATTATATTTATCCCATTTTCTTTGAATGTGCTTGACAGTTTTAACATATTTAGCTAAAATCTGTGTCCTTTTTCCATAATAAGGAGGGTATTATTTTACAAAATTATTATTTTTTAAGTATCTGAAGCTTCAAGGCATGAAGTTGTCTTTATTTTGTGTTCCATATTATAGCTGGAAATCCATTTTAATGCAATACAGTGAAAACGTTTATAAATATTTATCACAGAGGCATTTGCATGGAATTCTCATAAAAATCATACACACACACACACACACACACACACACACAGCCAAAGAACAACTGCAATAAATAAACTGATATTTCGAGAAGAAATCATTCATCGGTTTACACTGAATCCATATTTACTTAACCTATAGACTTTGACATCTGTAAAAGAGAATAATGGTTAGCAGTATGATTAATAGGAACTATGGGATAAAAGAATCACACAAATAAAATATGAATTTCTAATATATAATTTTAGATACTTTGTAACGTGTTGACAAAATGCACCAAGAATAAAACTGCCAGATAAGGCATACAAATAGGTAGATGAAGAAAAAATTAGTTTAAGTCTTAAATGCTCTGAAGTTTTCTATAGACATGAAGAAATTGTGGCTAGAGAAAGATCTTATTGGATTGTATGGATTTTGTAAAAACACATATTGACAAAAAGAATGTAGAATAGTGAGCAACATATATGAGCAACATATGTTATTTTCAAGCAATAATGAAAGCACATTTTTGATTATTACAGTAGCCACTCTTTAATGTTAATATGTGCTTTTAAATATAGTGCAGTAAGTACTATATTTGCATCACTGTTTTATTAAATGGCAGTCAATAGAAGTTTTTAACAGATGAAAGACTCTAATTGAACTCTGCATACAATTGCCTGTCTGTTGATGATAATGGCACATTTTTAGCCATTATCAAAATGCACCAAAATGGCACATTTATAGCCATTTTGCAAATTCAACCATAACTTAGATGTATCATTATTATGATAATTTTACTCAATTTGTTTTGGTTTAATTAAAAATCTAGATGAAAACAAAAATATGTCCTTCAAAGTTTACAAACCATTGATTTTTCCATCCTTCCTCTCATTGGTTGTTACCACTTGAAGGTTATTTGGTGTCAATGGAATTAGAAATTTAGACATACGTTTAAAAAACAACTTTGAATATTTTGATTATGGAAACCAGCATCTTTGTCTAATTCATGTTATAATTAAGATTCTTTAAAACAAATCAATATTTCAAATACCTACAGTCTAGCTGAGGGGAAATGGGAGATGAACAAGTGTATTTTGGGTTTTTAGTTAGTAGTTCTGTCTTTAACTAGAACGACAGCTTGTAGGAGATCATTTTCCTCTCCTCCAGACCCTAAATTTGACCTAGAGAGGCATTGTTGGAAAATGCCTGATGGTTTGGCAGAACTAAATTGGCGTTGTCTGGAAATTATCTCACTCCCAAAAGGGAATAAAAACCTCTCCAAACGCCTTCAATAAAGACGCTGGTGTCCTGGACGCAGCTCAGAAACATCACTTTAGCCTTTCTGGAAAGTGGAAACGCACAGGATGAAGCCTCGGATACACAAAGATCATTGCTCAGAAGCATCACGGATGGAAACAGTTTAAAAACTCGCTAGCATCAAACCTGCTAAGGAGATTCAGCAAAGTTACAGCAAAACAGCCCCGGGGAGGGTTTGGCGGGGCGGGGGACTTTCAAGGTTAAGAAAGCACCCCACGTCCCTTGCCCAGGTCCCTGGTCTGCAAGCCCGGGGCCACAGCCATCTGTGGCGCAGACATCCAGGGCAGGGAAGCCCCCCCAATGTCCCAATGTCGGGCCAGTGACCAAACGGATGCCTGTGTAATTAGGAAGGGATTTGAAAAAGGTCGAAAGGGTAAAGTCGCAAAATCCAAAGACTCAGTCCCCAGTCGCTAATATGTGTCATCAAGGCAAACGTTGGGCATTGGAGAGGGGTCGCGCCCTCAAGCGCGGGCCCCCAGCCAAACTGGCGCATGCTGTTACCTCTCCCGGCGAGCCCTGACGGCGGCTGGAACCAGAATCCACCAAGCCGAGTTGCAGCAACAGGTTCTGACCCTGCTTCGGCTCCAGCTACTTTTCGCGGTCTGGCAGCTCAGCCCCACCAACGCCTGTCCGCCGCGGACTTCCTGCTCCGCTCCGGGCTGCCCCGCCGCGCGGCCTGGCGCTGCGTGCTTTGCGCTCGCTTCGGCCTCCCAGTCCCCTTCAGATGAGACGTCACTCTCTGGGAGGCACCAGCTAGCCGCTGGGGTTCCGAAGAAGCTTTTCATATCCCGCTAAGGGGCACCCAGGTACATTCTTGTGAAACTCAGAATCCGAGTCCAGCAAAGAAAAGGAAGCATCCGTATGACTAGCAAAATCTTCATTACTTGGCTCCAGATCCTGGGCAAGTGATTTAGCCTCTCTGTGCCTCAGCTTCCTAGTTTGTAAAATAGAGATGATGATATTAATCAATAGGAGAAAACTGAGAATTATTTGTCTACGTCCAAAAGTGCCTGGAATGGTCCTGGTACAAGTTAAGCATTACATTAAATGTGAGCTATCATCATCTTTAAGGTTCTAATGGGACTGAGAGGTTCGTTGCATATTGCAGACCCTGCCTCTGTCTGAAGCAGACCCTATTCTTTGAGTCTTTGCAAAGATCTTTTAGCTTGCAAGCAAATCCCTCTGAAATTCTGGAAATGTATTCACAGCATAATCAGAAAGGGAAAGCAGAGAACCCTGGGGAGACTCACAATGGTCCTGACAGGACTGTCTGCCCAGTTGGATGTTGCTAATAGAGATCTCATGACTAAACTTTAATGGATTAACTTACAGGTTTATACAATTACTGAGAAGGGGATAATTAAAGGTGCTTTAAACGTGAGAAACCTGTGAGGAGACTAGTGGATTTAATCCTCTTGAGAGTACCTTAGGTTTGTGAAGAGTTGGTATATAATTATTTCTAATCCACACAGAGGCACCAAGGTTCAGTGACTTGTCTAAGATTACAGAGTGGTATTTAAATGAAAGAACAGCTCCAGAAGCCGAATTCTTTTATTTATCTACTACATTTCTGTGGCTATATCACTGGTACATGTGGGATACAGAAAGTAAAAGCCTATGGTGAGACAGACCTTTTAAAATAGGATTCCCTGGTCTTGGAATAAAGTTGCAGATTCTGACAAGTGTGTGGTGTGTGGTGCGTGTGTTTAAAACTGGATGATGACTACATTGAGGATCCAGGAAGGGGTATTTCTCCCAAGACTTTATCAAATTCAAGGTAAGATTACTGGTCTCACGTCTCTGAAGTTTTTCAGGATACTCAAGGCACAGAAAGTCATAGAAAAAAAAAAGACATTAAAGAGATAGCACAGGAGTCATGGCAGAGAATGATAAATTAGTTGAGTAAAATAAAACTAAGAAGAGAAAAACATTTTGTATTCAATCTCAGATTCTCAAATCAAAGTGCAAAAATAACTGTGGATCATTGCTCTACATAACCCCTCTTACTACTGGAAAAATAAGTCATTAAAATGATGAGAACAATAGCCATGCTTTTGATGAGACAGTGAGGTCATGTCTAGCTTGCCAAGATTCTATTACAAATTAAAAGAAATATAAAAGTTACATAACAATCATTTAAACTATGAGTCCATTTCTGTATCATGAAACAACACACTGCCAGAACTATTGTCCTGCTCCCCATCCCTACCATTGCACCACCACTGAAAACAACAGACTATGTCCATAAGCAGAAAAAATTATATAAAACTAGGAAAGGACCTAAATGCACCTCTCCCTCAGTACTTCTCCTGTAAACACCTACACACCCCACTTTAACTTCCACGCTTTCATTCATCATTCTTCGCTGCAACTGGTTTAATACTAGAGCTTGTCTTTCTTCCTCTGAGCTAAAGCCCATGTCTACAATGGCGAACTTTTCTTCTCACCCTTTCCCATACTTTCAGGATTCTCATACTCTCTCATATATTTCTTCTCTCCTTATTAAATGAAGTATTTCTGGCTTGTCAAGATCTTCCATGTAAAACAAAACAAAATAAAAATCCCATGGTTTTTCTGCAAGGCCTTAAGTGTGATACCTACATTATTCCTTCCCAGGAACACCTGCACTGTTTTGCAGTCCAATCTGTTGTTTGCATTTCCTCACTTCCCATCCACTTAGCAAGCCACTCCAGGCACCAGACAATCTTGCAAAAATCATCAATACTTCCATGTTGAGAAATATAATGGATATTTTTCGGTCTGCATCTTATTTGGCCTTTGAGCATCTTGATTTCTATCAGTAACAGTTTCTCCTCTTAGCATATATTTCATAATCCCCTATTTTTTGTTTGTTTACCTTGCATCTCTGGCTACACATTTTTTGTATCCTTTACAGGCCCTTTTTTATTTTTATTTTCCTACACAGCCATTTAACATAGGCCTTTCTTTCTCTTTTTCTTTTTCTTTCTTTCTTTTTTTTTTTTTTTTTNCAGGCTGGAGTGCAATCTTGGCTCACTACAACCTCCACCTCCCAGGTTCAAGCGATTCTCCTGACTCAGTCTCCCAAGTATCTGGGACTACAGGCACCTGCTCCCAGGCTGGGTTAATTGTTTGTGTTTTTAATAGAGAAGAGGTTTCACCGTGTTAGTTAGGATGGTCTCAATCTCCTGACTTCGTGATCTATCCGCATTGGCCTTCCAAAGCACTGGGATTACAGGTGTGAGCCACCACACTGGCCCTTTTTTCTTTTTCTTTTTTTTTAGACAGAGTCTCTATCACCAGGCTGGAGTGCAATGGAGTGCAGTGATGTGATCTCGGCTCACTACAATCTCTGCCTCCCAGGTTTAAGCAATTCTTATGCCTCAGCCTCCCAACTAGCTGGAACTAGAGGCACATGCCGCAACACCTAGCTAATTTTTTGTATTTTAGTATAGACACGGTTTCACCATGTTGCCCAGGCTGGTCTCAAACTCCTGAGCTCAGGCAATCCACCTGCCTTGGCCTCCCAAAGTGCTAGGATTATAGGTGTGAGCCACGGCACCAGGCCTAACATAGATATTTCTTTAAGGCTCAGTGCTAGATTCACTACTCTTCTTAATGGACTAATTTCTATGCATTCTTATCCACACAACTGGCCTCAATTACCACATATATGCAGGTGATCCCCATATTTACATCTCCAGTCTAGATTTCCTCTATAAGTATCAGACTCCTACTTGACAATGTTAATAGCTATCTCAACATCTCCTCAAATTCAGCATATCTAAAGCTAGAATCATGGTCTTCTTCCCAAAACCTACCCTAGCTCAGCTGATGACACTGCCATACATCCTTCTCATGGCTAGCTTAAACATGGTGGCACTCAGGCTACCACCTTGAACAACTGGCTGTATACCATATGCTGAAAGTGGCAGAGAAACAGGATGAAAGGAACCTGAGTTTTTGACAGCCTTAGAATGCTTCATCTCCAGTTTGGACTGGTCTACCTCACATTCCTTTTACATAAGAAAGGAATAAAAGTCCATCTGACAAAAAAGATATATATCATTATGTACTTTTATATATAAATTATTCACATAAGTGGAAAATCAGTGTAGCTTGATATAAACAGGAGGTAGATAATAAGACATATTAAATAAAATGTTATTAATTTTTACAAAGTTTGTCTATAGAACATTTTAAATTATCTTATATTCCACTAATAGTATGCCACCTTGTTCTCCATCTTGGGAAATATCACCTTAAGTAATATGAGGATAAACTGATATGTTACCTTGCAAAAGAGCAGAATATTGCAAACTACATGGAAGCTTTGGGGAGACAGTTCAAGAAAACATAACAGGAATAAGAAAGCAAACATGGACCCAAGAAAGGAACAGAAATGAATCAAGTGACTAGTGGGAAGGCAATAGAAAAGAAGAAGGGCAGAGGAGGCTATAACCTTAATTGTGGTCATTTTTGATCCAGTATTTTTGTTTTTAATTCAGTGTTGCTGCTGGTTTTGTTTATTTTTTTTCTTGATAGGCAAAAATCAGAGTTTAAAAATTGCATCAAAGATAAAAAAGACTTAAGAATAACCAAAAGGCAAAAGACATAAATGATACTATCTCAATTAGTAGAATTACAAAGAGTAAAGAAGTAGACGTTCCTAATAATCAGGAAAATGCAGATTAAAGTGACATTCAAATACCATTTTCTCATTTAAATTAGCAATAACAGATGCTTGCTGGATGGTTATAAAAGTAGCATAATCCTTTTAAAAACAACACTTTTGGAAAACATTTTAATTGTATAGATTAAAAATCAATAAAGATATTTATAGATTTTGATTTAGGAAACTCAGTTTTAGAAATATACCGATTGGAATCAATTAAAAGCTACAAGCAGAAAGTTATATACAAGTGTTAACTAAATAGTGGGAAACTAGGAGCACTCTGGTATGTTAACTCAGTGCAATTTATATGGCCATGAAAAGTTTTAATTATAATGACAATAATAACAAAAGAAAAGTAATGCAGGGTAATATTAAATGAAAATAAAGCAAACATGGTATTTTAGGTAAATTAGAATTATCTATGCAAAAATACACATTCTTATGGATAATGCTCAAATAAGCATCTGAATAATAGCAATTTATTTATTCTGGAGTCATGATCATGGATACATTTTTTTCAAAATTGCTATCCATAATAGTGTTACTATAATTAAAAAATAATCGGTTCTTTAAGTTGAAAAAGTTGCCAGAATGGAAATTGGGAGCGCTAGAATCTAGCCCAGTCTTTTCGTTTTAAATCCTTTACTTACATAGGCTTCCATTTTTTCAAATAATATGCTATGAAAAGATTCAACTAGTATTTTTCAAGTTGTAAGAGCCTATGATTCTAAATCCCAGTCTAGATAACTGTCTTCCTTTTGTACATTAGCTATTTTCTAGTTTTTCTGAAAGTTGGCTTCAGTCACTCAATAATATTGATTGACTCTCTACCAATCAGTAAAGTCATGTGCTAGTTTTTTGATGGGGAGTAGGTAGAACTTAGATAAACATGTGAAATACTATTCCTGAACTTAGAAAACTTGTATTTATGTCTGTTATGAAGAGGCAAGACATGTAAGATATGAACTACATGATCCAAAGAAAGAACTTTGGAATCAAAGGGAAAATATTATCACAGATAGAGGCATCACAGACATGACATTTGAGCTAGGTCTCACAGAAGTAATAAGTACATTTGGACTTCTCTGATGGGTATGAGAGTGGATACTTCAGGCAAAGGAAATACCGTGGCAAACTATGGAGCTAGGGAACCCTGAAAATTGTACAAAAACAGTTCTTAGCTTGGTTTGTTTAAAGCATAGGCTTTATGAGATAAGCAGAGAGAGTATTTGAATACCTTT